GGGACGGCCGCCGGCGGCACCGCGGCGGCACACATGTCGAGCTTTGCGTCCAGCGCTAGGGGACGCAGCGGTCGTCGCGTCGTCGCCCGCGGAGCCTGCGTAATATAGAAGACACCGCAACGCGTATACACAGCCCCTAGTTATACTGTATACGATCTGGTGACGATGTATTTTCCCCCTGCACGTTTTCTTTTCGGGTTTCGTGGGTTGATAGTGCACTTGCAACCGACGAAACCGAAGACGGTTCGCCCCCAGGGGGGTGGTTTCACTGCGAAACACTCAGTCAACGGGGCTGCCACACATCCTGAGCCTCAGCATCAGGATTTCCCCGCTTGCATCGCCATTATGGAGTCATGATATCTCAAAGCTCGGCACGTCATTTTCACGCATCACGCTCTTGAGAAATCACACCTTGCGATTTCACACAATATCACAAAGTATTGTCAAAGGAATCACGCTCGCCGCTCGGAGCGATATTTTGTTTGTGCCGGTTACTACGGTAAAAATGTATATAGCTGCGCGCGCTTCTACTGTCCGCGGGCGCAACGAACATGGCTAGTACAGCAGAGCACATGCGAGGGCACCGGCGCCGCGACTTCAGACAGGCTGCTACGACTAGTGGAGAGGCAAAGCGTCTATCATGACCCTACATGCGGCGTTGGCAATGGGCGCGCCTATGGTGTGGACTCGCATCGAAGGTAGTGTACAGTCGTCCCCAACGTCGCGCGCCTACAGCCCTCTCCACCCAGACAGACAAGCTGCTACGGCTAGTGGCCGGCATTCTCGCATGTCCTCGCATCCTCGTAGCGCCACAACCCACATCTCCCCTTGCTCCCTATCACACGCGTGCTGCACGTCGTCCTGAACGTGCACTCGCACCATCCTGCCGGAGGTACAGTACGTACATGGTTGCCAGCACTCCAAAGTTGAACGGCCCCCAGGCGTATAGCACACCTTGAGACAGCGACCGCAGCTGACCGGTGCGCACCCAAATGATGGTCCTGTTGACGACCATCAGGGCGGTGATGATGGCGGCGACGCGCAACTTATGCTTTGGCGAGGAGTACTCGGATGGCTGGGAGCCGAGCCACGCGCCGAAGCTTGCGAAGAAGGCAATGCCGGCGAGTGGCTCGCGTTGGAGCCTATCAAACCGCTCGATCTGCTGCGCCGTATCGAGTGTTGACCAGCCGACGAGTCGTGCTGCGACGAAGAGTGCGTACCCCACCACAAGAAGAGTCGTGCCCAAGCGAGCAGTCAAACGCGGGCCGCAGGCAACGTGGCCGACTATCAGCAGGCCGCCGACAAGGTGCGTCATGATGCTTCCTGGGTATCCCAAATATGACCAGCCTGCAACCAGAGGCGAGGCTGCGGCAAGAGCAGCAACGGCGATGTGGAACTTGTGGCCGGCGAGGATGGCGGCGGTGGCCTGCTTCGCCAGCAGTATCAGCAGGGAGGCGAGCTTGAGCAGCAAGCCTATGGCACACGTCTTGGACGCGTCGTGGAGCAGGGGCCAGCGTGAGCACAGCAAAACGCGCCGCTTGGTGTAAGCGCCGGTCTGCACCTCCGCCTTTCCGACCGCCAGTGCGCGAGCCACCGCAGCGCCCGCTCCCCCGTTGAGTTTGGGCCGCGAGAGGAGCGCTGGGTCGGGCGCCGGTGGCGAGGGCGGCGCGGAGGTATCGCCTGAGCAGTCGCGCCTTATGGACTCGATCTCGCTGGGGGAAAAGATGCCCGCGAACATGCGGTCCCACTCGCCTTCGCCAGGAGTTTCGGGCGGTGCTGGCACTGGCGAAGCGTCTAGCGGCGCAAGCGCCGATGCACCCGCCGGGGGGGCTAGGCCGAGTAAGGCTGCGATCTTCTCGGCAGGCTCTCGGTCGAGGAAGTCGTCCAGGCGCTCGACCAGGTCGTCCACCGCGTGCGCCGCCAGACCCGCAGCGAGCGGGGACGGCTGCGCTGCGGCGGGCGCTGCGGCGGGCGCTGCGGCGGGCGCTGCGGCGGGCGCTGTGGCGGCTGCAGAGGCGGGCAACAGGGAGGTAGTTATCGCAACCGCTATCGAGGGGAAGGGCGCTATCGGCAGCAGGGAGGGCGCTTGCGAAGTAAAGGTCGACGGCCGGTGGGCGATCGCGTCTTCAAAAGGAGGAGACGCAGGCGATCCGGGGCCGCTGCCGTACTGCTGCCACGCCTGCGTCCCGGCGCCTGTCGCAGCGGCGGCCACCCGCTCCGCCTCCACGGCAAAGCTCCGCGGGAGAGGCATCATCGGCACGAGAGTCCGTCCGACGCGAAAGGCGATGAAGCCGGGCGGGGGCCACGGGAGGGAGGTGACGGCCGGCAGCGGTGGCAGAGGTGCGAGGTTTGGGAGGTCTGCCGAGCACTCGTTCCTCAGGATCACCAGACGCGGGCCGGTGCAGTCTGCCGTCTGATTGATGAGTCGGTAGTCCGGCCAGGGCGCATCGCGGGACGGGCTGTTCCACACGCCGGCGGTCCGTTGGTTGGAGAGCTCAGCCGTCCCGACCGTCACTCGCACTCTCGCCACGGGGACAAGCACGCCTCGCTGCCTGCACCGTGCACAAAAGTTGTTGCGGAACGCTCCGTCTTTGAGAGGCACCACCTCGCACACTGACGCGCCGCCCGAGAGGATGCTGCCCCAGCAAACCTCGACATCGATCGGCTGGCGCTTGCGCTTGCCTGCCGGCGTGGTGCCAGAGTCGAGCATAACCTTGACGGGCCTCTTTTGACCCTACGAACCACGCAGGTTGGCAGGCGTGCTCGGCCGCCGAATTGGTCAAACCAGGCCCCGATTGGTTCGGCGTTCAGGAGTCGTTGGTCCAAAAAAAGAATTTTACAGCTGGTGTCGTGCAAAAAAAGAATTTAAAGACCGAAGAAGACAAAAAAGAATTTTACGAGCAAAAGAGAAAAGGAGAAGCAGACACACTCACTACTGGCTCCCGTTGGAATTATTTTGACTTGTGAGCCGGACGGCTTTCATTTCTCTCTGCGTTCTCCCCTTCCCTGGGCACCGCTGTAGGTAGGTAGGTAGGTAGAAAGGTGAAGAACAGCCAGGCTCGGACTGGACACCAACGCGGTATGGGTGGACGCTGGACAGATGATGACGACACGCTCGAGCGACACACAGACACAAACAGGCTCACAAGACACACAGCCAGCTGGCTGCCACACACCCTGAGTCGGCTTACACATAACTCAAGGCCACATCCTCCCTGTCGCCCCCCCCAGCACTCCAAGGTGCCAAGAGAACAAACAAGGGCACAACGACACAACAGACGACAGGAAGTGACATGCGAGGCTAGAGCAGGCTTGCTCTACCTCCAGCAATCTCTCCGGCCGGCGAGGCACGGACGAGACCGTGTGTGGGGTCTAGTGAGGTGTCTATGGACGCCCTCCTCAGAGGCTAGCTGCCTGCGGCTAGCCCTAATCTCGCACTCACAGGCGATGACAATCCAATGTATGAGTGTATTCAAGCAGAGGCGCGTGTGCTAATTCTAGGCCGCACGTCGTGGCACTATGACGGAGGTAGACGTGCGACCGCAGCGCGCCCACCACAGTCTCGGTGGTGCGCGCGTGTTAGCGATAGAGTTGCGGGGAGAGCCATGCCGCTGTGCGAATGGAGCCGCAAAGGCCACCTCGGTCAGAGTTACAACAAACAACCCGACGTGGACGCGCAACATTGGCAGGGGCGGCAAGCGCTTTTCAGGCGATGTCAAGTTTGTCTGCCCCCTCACCACAGCGGCGGGGAGCATGGTCAGAAGGGCGCTTTTGTCGCCTTCGGCAACACCGAGGCGTTCTACCGGAACATGGTCGAGGGGCATGGGCCCTACCGCGAGGAGGGGGAGGGAGGCGAGGGGGAGGGGGAAGGGGGGATAGGGAGGGGAGTGTGAGGGGTATGGGGGCGAGGGCATGGAGGGAGAGAGGAAGAGCAAGGGCGAGGGGGCAGGGGACGGGTCGATGGCATACTACGGCTTTTCCCTCAAGAATATACGAGCTTTCCGCAGCCCTTGACCTTGGTGGACCTCGAGTCCAAAGATATTCTTGAATATTCTTGACGTTGCCGCTGTGCGGCGTCTAAAACGGTCTTGACGAGAGAGCTCGAAACAGCTATTCCCCCCTCAACAGTAGGTTTCGGGTCGATGCCGACTGAAATCTTTAAGTTTTGGAGGTTCTGAGCGGGTTTGGGAGCGACTTTTGGTCTCCGTCGATATACGCGAGGTCAAAATATTCTCAATATTCGAGAATATTCTCGAGAATATAGAGGGCCCAGAGAGAATATGATGCAAAGAATATAGATAGCCTTTGCAGAGAAAAGCGTGTAAAGGCCAACCCCCAGTACTCACCCAGCTTCGGCTGTATACATGTTTCTTTCCTCGCGCACCCCGTCTAGGAGAGATTTTGTTTGTTTTGTTTTGCACCCCGTCTCGTTTCTTTTCCTTGTGGTGTACCTGTGTTAGTGCCAGTGCGCGCCAGTCCCGTGCCTAGTGTTGTGCGGACTGAGGCAGAGCGAGGGGGGGACGAGGTCTCATCAACTTCGAAACCGCGAAAGAAAGAAGATAGCTCAATGTCAATGGTTTTCAAAAATCTCCCCCCGAGCAGTTGTTGTTTTTAAAACTCCTCTTGTTTATTGTATGTTCTTTGTTAGTGCCAGTGCGCGCCAGACCCGTGCCTAGTGTCGTGCGAGGGAGTCGAATTATAAGATTCTTTTTTTACACCAACGAGGACCACCAACGAGTCTGGATCCCACTTTCATAAGTAAGCAACCCAGAGTTCCCCCTTTTCCCACGCCCATTCTGACCGACTTTGCTGACACCACAAGGCCAACCCTCGCCTTTCCCGTTCCGCTCGCGCTGGCCCCGCCGCATCGACGCACATATGGCCGCGGGGAGCTGCACGCCCGAGCGGCGCGACGCCTCTTGCTCACGCAACCCGCCGCTCCTTCTCCGCTCCCACCATGCGATGCGCTTCGCTTTGGCGCCCGAGCGGCTTCGCCCCCTCTCGGCCTCACAATGCCTGCCACCTCCCGTTCGCAGGTGAGGCTGCTGCCATCGAGGAGCCACGAGACGCGGCCGCTGCCGCTCGTTTCCCACCCTTACACCGAGCGAACCCGCCCGATTGCTCCCACTCTTTTCCGGCGAGAGAGCGACGCAGCCCGCTCGCTTGCCAATCGCTGCCCGGCTCCAGTCCGAGCGCCGAGGACACGAGAGAGTGTGCCGGTCGTCGCGACGCTAACGCCGCGGCGTGCTGCCCGTAGGTGTGGCAGTGACCTGGCTCGACCCTCTCTCTGTTTCTCTCTCTCTCTCTCTCTCTCTCTCTCTCTCTCTATCTCTATCTTTATCTCTCTCTCTGAGCATGGCCCTGCCCTTTATTAGCAAACCACGCGGGCCGATCGATTTCTTTTTGTCTGTGTAGGCGAGGCTCGAGGGGGAGGGGAGGGCATGGCGGGGGGGCTGCGTGGTTGGCTGGGTGGGTGGCCGGCGGGGTGGAGATTGCGACGATTGATCCATTTCTCCTCGGAGCATTTGGAGATTCCTCGAGATATTCTCCTCCCCATATACCCCCATATACCCCCACATACCCCCACATACCCCCCCACATACCCACTGGACATCTCCATAGCAGTTTTTGACCCTCTTTCACATGGTCATGATCCCGTAGGTGGGGTGCTGACCTCTCCGTTCGCCGAGATTGACCCCGAGATCAAGCCGAGATTGACACATGACCGCCGAGTCTCGGCTTGATGCCCCGGGTGGCCCCGTTGGGACTTCCGCACCTCTTTCTGGATGGTGCCTGGCCCTCTTTCACTCAAGCTCAAGACTATTATCCATGTACCCCATATACCCCCATATTCCCCCGACATCTCTGTAGCATTGTGAGACTGACTTTCACATCGTCGTGAACCTGTAGGTGCTGACCTCTCCATTCGCCGAGATTGACTCTGCACAGTCTAGTAATAATAGTACTGCTCTGCACAGTCTCCAGTAACCAGCAATAACAGGAGGCTTTGCACAGTCTCCAGTCCCCAGTCATAATAGTAGTGCTCTGCACAGTCTGCTGGTACATCCAGTAACTAACCAGCAGCAGCAGTTCTATCACATGAACCCGTCACACAGCCTTCTCCATGAGCTGCATCTATCGACCCTCTTTGGCGTGCATACCCACGCGCGCTGCAGGAACTCGATCAATATGCTCGACAAGCTCAAACTCGAGCTCGTGCCGGCCGCCGGTGACAAGCTCGTGCTCAAGCTCTCTCCTCCGCCGCCGCCGCTTGCTGACAAGCAGGCGTGTGCTTGCGCGCACGTGACAATGCGCTCCCGCCTGCAAGACTTATGTTATCCTCTGGCCTTCTGGCTGACACAGGCGTCGCTGGCGGGCAACACGACCGTCAACCCTGCCGGAGGCGAGGCCGCCGGCATCCCGTCCGAGGGCCAGCCCGCTTCGCTCGAGGACGTCATCCCGTCCGAGGGCAAGCCCGCTTCGCTCGAGTACGTCGGCGTCGTGTTTGCGGCGTCGGTAGGCGCATCGTTCGCCGGCGCCGAGACCTCGCGGCGCCTCACGTTCACCGTCGACAAAACCTCGTGCCTGCCACTTCCGTCGCCTACCAGCCTCGTCATGTTCCCTCCGCGTCCGCCACCGTCGTCGCCGCCGACGCCGCCTCCATCCCCACCACCCCCATCGCCCCCGCCGTCGCCCCCGCCGTCGCCCCCGCCACCCTCAACATCGCAGTCGCGCCCGCCGCCCTCAGCATCGCCTTCGCCCCCGCCGCCGTCCGTGTCGCCCTTGCCGCCACCGCCGTCCGCCTCGCCCTCGCCACCGCCTCCCTCCACCTCGCCCTCGCCGCCGCCTCCGTCCGCCTCGCCGTCGCCGCCGCCTCCCTCGGCATCGCCGTCGCCCCCGCCGCCCTCCGCCTCGTACTCCTTCGCAGACAAGGACTCCCTGCAGACTGCGGTCGACGCCTGGTGCACCAACAAGGAAAGCGCCGAGGCCACTTACGGCCCGATCTCCAGCTGGGACGTGCGGGCCATCACCGACATGGCTTTCCTGTTCTTCACGGATGCGTACTACTACTACTATTACGATGGGAGCACCGTTGACAAGACAGGCTGCAACCCTGACATCAACAACTGGGACATGAGCGGCGTGACGAGAACCGACAGCGCGTCCCTCCCCGCGCCTCTCCTCTCCGCACTCTCCCTCGACCTCTGCCTCACCGTGCCCCCGCCTCGTGTGTGCGTTTGCAGATATGTTCCGCGGCGCGACATCCTTCAACAAGCCGCTCAACAACTGGAACATGGCCAGCGTTACGGACACCGACAGTGCGTCCCTCCCCGCGCCTCTGCACCCCTCTTCGCACCCTCCCTCGGCCCCCGCCTCACCGTGCTTCCGCCTCGTGTGTGCGTGTGCAGTGATGTTCTACGGCGCGACCTCCTTCAACCAGGACATCAGCAGCTGGAACATGGCCAGCGTGACGAGAACTGAATGTGCGTCCCTCCCCGCGCCTCTGCAGCCCTCTTCGCACCCTCCCTCGGCCCCCGCGTCACCATGCTTCCGCCTCGTGTGTGCGTGTGCAGTTATGTTCTACGGCGCGACCTCCTTCAACCAGGACATCAGCAGCTGGAACATGGCCAGCGTGAGGAGCACCTTCGGTGCGTCCCTCCGCGCGCCTCTGCAGCCCTCTTCGCACCCTCCCTCGGCCCCCGCCTCACCGTGCTTCCGCCTCGTGTGTGTGTGTGTGCAGGGATGTTCCGCAACGCGACATCCTTCAACCAGCCGCTCAACAGCTGGAACATGGCCAGCGTGACGAGAACTGACGGTGCGTCCCTCCCCGCGCCTCTGCAGCCCTCTTCACTTCGCACCCTCCCTCGACCCCCGCCTCACCGTGCTTCCGCCTCATGTGTGCGTGTGCAGGGATGTTCCTCCGTGCGACCTCCTTCAACCAGGACATCAGCAGCTGGAACATGGCCAGCGTGACGAGAACTGACGGTGCGTCCCTCCCCGCGCCTCTGCAGCCCTCTTCGCACCCTCCCTCGGCCTCCGCGTCACCGTGCTTCCGCCTCGTGTGTGCGTGTGCAGTGATGTTCTACGGCGCGACCTCCTTCAACCAGGACATCAGCAGCTGGAACATGGCCAGCGTGACGAGAACTGACGGTGCGTCCCTCCCCGCGCCTCTGCAGCCCTCTTCGCACCCTCCCTCGGCCTCCGCGTCACCGTGCTTCCGCCTCGTGTGTGCGTGTGCAGTGATGTTCTACCGCGCGACCTCCTTCAACCAGGACATTAGCAGCTGGAATATGACCGGCGTTACGAACACCGAATGTGCGTCCCTCCCCGCGCCTCTGCAGCCCTCTTCGCACCCCTCCCTCGACCCCCGCCTCACCGTGCTTCCGCCTCGTGTGTGCGTGTGCAGATATGTTCTACGGCGCGACCTCCTTCAACCAGGACATCAGCAGCTGGGACCTCTCGTCCAATACTTTTTGCTCGTCCATGTTCTCCGGCACGCCTGCCTCCACCTGCACAATCGCGGGGGGCTGCAAGAGCATTTCGTGCTGATTTCGTGCCCGGCCTCCGGCTGAGCCAAGAGGGTCGGCGGCCACAGCGGGTTTGGAGGGAGCCACCGGGCAGATCAGCCGGCGGGTGTTTCTTCGTACACCTACACTGAGAGGAGTGCGCGATGGCGGGGGGCAGAGCTCGGGAGAGGTGTGGAGGGATGGAGGGATAGGGCCAGGGCCGGCCGCAACTGCTGCTCTGCGACGACCTGGAAGGCGCTGCACTCTTGAGGCTCACTGGCGGGCAAGGGGGAGGCAGGGGGGGGTCTCGAGGGGGGGGGGTTCTCCAACTCGAGTACCTAGTTGGTCTGTGTTTGTATCGCGCGCCTGGTCATTCTGAATGAAATCGTCCCTCAGCAACTGCCATGTCGGCTGGTCGTCGGCTGCTGCTCTCGCCTCGCTGGCGCGTGGCGGCGCGGTCTATAGTGCCGCCGGCCGCCCTGCCGCGACTCCCAGCTGCCAGCTCTCCTGCCTCTGTTTTTGTGTTAGACCCGCAAGAGGTGGCCTAGTAGATCGAAGCGCCGACCTTTAAGGTCTAACAGTTTGAGCCCGGCGTCGGTGGCGGCTCGCCTCAACGGAAGCAGGTTGGTGGCTCGAGCAGAAAAAAAAGACGAACGCCGTTCGCGCCGTTGACGCCGATGTATGTATGTGTGTAAGCATCTCACAACCCACGTGAGGCGCCGCGGTATTTTTTTATTTTCGCCCTAACTCGAGTGTGTGTGTGTTGGTGTGTACCCCTACCTCGACTCCAGACATCGACCCGGCACCACCGTGCTCCCCTCCCGAGCCCGAGTCGGACGGAGGGAGCCGCAGGGGATCTGGCTCGATTGCAGCTCAGTCGCCGGACCCGTCGCTGGTTCGCGGCCGCCGCCATCCCCACTCACCCCACCGTCCGTCGCCCACCCGCCACCGCTCTGCCTGCCTCTCCGCCAGCATCGCTTCCGCGCCTCCGACTGCAACAAACAAAGATCAAAGACAAAGTGAGACTGCCGCCGGGTTCACCCGACCTGTGAACGTCCGGTGTGCGCGCATGACCGGTGCGGCCTCCGCGAGTCGGCGACTAGCGCGCGTCATAAGGTTTTTGCTTGCCTTCCCTGGGGCCCCGTGTTGCATGTCTGACTGTCACTGTGCGATTTCGGGACCCGGGGTTGTCGGTTGTGCGTTGATGTGAATCCTGCGCGCGGGCCTTCTAGGCCCGCGGGTAGTCTCCCCCCATCCCCAGGCAGGGCCTCCAGGGCTCGCACCTCAACCTCTCATAGACCAGCGCACAGCGCCATATACGAGGAATTTAACAAGGCTGTTTATTTTCTTCTCAATAACAAGGCTGTGAATTTGTCTCGTCGAAAGCTAGGGCGGCATCGGCCATCGCACCAAGAATCATCTTCAACTTCGCCAAAGAGGTCGGCAGCCCGACCGAGCGCCGTCGACCGCACCGGCCTCGCGCGCCGCCGTCTGTGGCGACGCGCAGAACATCAACAACGCTGCTCGCAACATGCGTGTCGCGCACTCATTCATGACCGGTCTCAATGTCCCACCCCCCTGCGCGAGGGCCTTCTTTCTAGGCCCGCGGGTAGTCTCACTCACCCCATCCCCAGGGCCTCCAGGGCTCGCACCTCAACCTCTCACAGACCAGCGCACAGCGCCATACGACGTATTTTCTTCTCAATAACAAAGCTGTGACGTCCGGAAGCAAACCTTTGCCCCCCCCCCCCCCCCGGGGGGGGTGGCGGGCTGCTTTTGCGCCGGTGAAAGCGCCACGTCTTGAAGGCGTGCCGCGCACCCTCCAGGCCGCGGGTTGCCCTTCCCTCGAACCTTTTCCTCGTGCAGCGATGCTGTCCGCTCGCGCCGCGCCCTCGCTGGTGCGAGCCGCCCGCCTCTGCACTGCCGCGACTCGCCGCGTCACTGCGGACGCGCTCGTGCGGCACGTCGACGTCTCGCCCGTCGCAGAGACGAGCACCGCGTTTGTGGGCCGGTCGGTCGACCTCGGGTGGGGCAGAGTGTACGGCGGCCAGACGATGGCACAGGCGCTCGCCGCTTGCCAGAAGCTTGTCGGCGGCGACTTCTCCGTCCACCAGCTGAGCTGCCACTTTCTCCGCGGCGGCGACGTGTCGGCTGACATCCGATTCGACTGCGAGGTGCTCTCCCACGGTCGCTCCTTCTCCGCCATCGCCGTGCGGGCGTCGCAGGAGGGCGCGCCGATCCTCGCCATGACGGCGAGCTTCCAGCGAGCCGAGCGAGGCCTCGAG